GGATTCAGGGCAATTTTTTATTGCTGCTTGTTTGAAAATGTCCGAGATATACAAACTTAATTTGAAGGTTAATCTTTAAATTGGCTTTAAAATGTTGGAAACTAGATTTCTGTTTAGTTGAGAATGTAAATAATGAGCTTTACAATCCGAAATCGAAATTTGTATGAATTTAAGTCATTTGAGTTGCCAAGCATATGTTTATACATAATTTCTATTGTTTTTGTAATCATTGTCAAATATTTCAATTTAATTCAAATGTAACTAGTCCAACAGAATTTAATAAAGGGTTGGCGTTTGGCTAGTAATTCGAATTAATGTACAACTCCTTATGAAACAGTCAAGTTTTGTATTTACACAATTTATTTTCACTACTCTTTGGAGCGATTCGGCTCAAGGTTTCGGCTCAATAATAAATAAAATAAATTGGAACCACACTTCAAACAAAGTTTATTGAAATCAATATTTCTTTTTGTTTAAGCTAACAGAAACCTAGTTATGTGAAATGTGATTACTGTATTATATAATTTATATATTTCTTAATAAGTTTTGATCACTTTATGAACTTTTGGAGAATCCATTTTCATTTGGCCTTGCATTTGCTGGACATCAAGTTTTGTCACACTTCGAATTCAACTTTGTCAACTCGAATGGAATTCGGTTGTTAAAACGTGTCCGCACACATAAACGATTGTTCTCAGAAAACGGAGATGGGACAACAATCGGCGCTTCATCCAAAAATGTCTAATTCAATCAGGGGTCTATACAAAAAGTGTAATTGGATCAATTTCTCAGGGGTTGTACGAAGAAGGAGAGCAAGGATTAATTGGAGTGAAAGTCACAATGCGTTGCCAAAGTAACCAGCAATGGATAAGTGTGTGAACACACGCACAATACACACAAACACACACACACACACAGCTACTACTAGAGCTATAAAACCAATTATATATGTGGCATAGGGTTTCAGGTAGCTGCACTCGTAAATCCATTCAGGGGTTCGCGCTCTTAGTAGCGACAACAACAAAATATTAATAAAAGAACTGAAGAACAGGGTATTGGATAGTCGACCACAATACAATGGGCGTAAAGCCGATAAGCCGTTGCCTTTTTTGGTTTTCCCAATTGTTGCCGCAAAAATGAGTTAAGCTGATTTTCATGCGAGTTTCGTGGCTGTCTAATGGACTAGCGCTTAGCGCGGCTGCTGGCCGCTGCCACGCCCACTACAGTTTGTGGAGGCGTGCGGCAATTAATATCAATTCCGTTTGGCCATTAACATGGCCGAAAACATATTGGCTAACAAGTGCCAAAGTCGCGCCAAATTAGACTCATAGCCAATGACGAAACAGGTCTGGGATTGGAAACGGTTTAAGGAACGGGACTGGAACTGGACTGGGCTCGCGCTGTGTTCGATATGCCCGGCAGCACAGCTATATAGCGCCATGACGCGTGCAAACGATGAGCAGCATGTGGCCAATCCCCAATTGCCGGCGCTAAGCCCAACACGAATGGGTGCGAGTTCAGTTCTGGGGCGCGTCGTTGTCCTTGTTGATAATAATATTCGATTGAGTTTTATTTGCTTTGGGGTTTGGTCCTCCGGCTCGTCCTGCTCATTGATGGTTTATTGTCTTTGCAGTCGGACAATATACACATCATGTTTTCCTTCCATTCTTTTAAGCTGTGTGCGTGTGTGCGTGCATGTGTGTTCGTGTGACAGTGCTGAAACTGTGACGCAAACGAACGGCACTCGAATACTTTTATGGTGCCACAAAAATACTCTGCCCCTAGCCTAGGATCGCTTCTAATGGCAATAACAATGGCATGGCGAAGGACCCGCACTCGGCACCACATGTGGCCAACTCTTGGCTGACTCTGCGCCGGGCACTGGGCAACTGCTAATGGCGGGTCACAGTTGGTTCTTCAAATTGAAAACGGAACACAGAACGCTGCCGCTGCTGCTGCTGTTGATGAGTGATGAAGCGGAAGCGGCTGACGCTATCAGCAAATGCTAAGCGCTCCCTAATTATGCAGCCCGTCTGGCAATCGGCAATCAGTGTCACTTACAATGACATACAACAAAAGCAACAATAGCAATAAAAAGAAATGCAAAGAAGATAACAAAACGGCGCAACGCAAAGGCAAATAAATATAAATCGAGTACATACGCGAGTTGTTCAAAGAATTCCCCAAATAGTGTATATATCTTGTAGTATTTAAAATGATATATTATATTTAGTGAGGTGTACACTTTTAATTTGTATAATTAATTATAAGTAATTATATAAGGCATAATCATTATTAACGGACAGCGTTGACATCTCTTAAAACTGTCAATTTTTAATAGTTTTAGTCATCTACTTACGTTCATTTCAGTTTTACACATAAAACTAAAAACTTCAAAGTGTTCAAAAGTGTAAGTGAATGCAATTTTTCCTGATTTTGTTTTTACATCGAACGGCCCAAACTAGTTTATAAATTGTTCTGTATTGCCTTAGCAGCACAGAAAGCCAAAGTTGCTCAAGCTATTTAAAAAGTTTGCTTGATAGTTTGTAACCATAGCCAATGCATAAAAGATTAATAATAATTATTATTTCTTTGGCATTTATGCTAAGCAGACATCTCTTTTAGCAAAGATAATATTGCCTATAAGCTAATGTGAAATCTATATTTTAGATATGTTCACAACGATGCGTATGGAAACTTTATCGATAAGCAACCCGTGGAACAGACAAAACAATGACAAAGTTGAGAACAAACAGACATCGACCGGAAGTGCGCATAGCATAATGAGTTTATGTTTTTTTTTTTTTGTTTTATACTCTTTATTTATTTTATTTTTTTTTTTTTTGAGGGCAACAAGAGGTTGAAGAGGCCTTGCAGATAGCATGAACAACAGCAGTGATAACAATGCCCAAGACTATGACGCTGATGGCGGTGCGAACGCGGATGCTTTCACTCTCAATGAGAGAAGGGCGGGGCGAATGCGGCAAGCGAGCGAGTATCTGTGGCAGGCTATAAAGCACTCAATGCATGTGCAACAGCAGCAACAGCAGCAGCAGCAGCAGCAGTGGCAGCAACAGCATCAAAGGGGCATCGATTAAGTTAATGAAATTGAGTTGTCCATCGTCACGGATGGGGCAACGCGGGACAGACGGCGTGTAAATTACAGTAAATACTTTAAAGCACTTATGCAGCCGGCGCTGGCAAAGCTAACAGCTAATGAGGTGTGACAATTAAAAGGCGGCAGGCAAATGGGTGCAGCTGAATTTATTATACTCTAGTCATAACCTTAAATGAGTATATTGGTTTTGCACTGTGCACTGTTTCTCTGTCCATTGTAGCTACACACATGATGCTTGGAAAATATACGCGTGTATAACCGCGTCAGATATCGTTAAAGTTGATTGTATGCCGTCAAGGGGGCTTGGCAAACCGCGAAAATCAATATGCGTTGTTTTTGATGCTTTTCATACAAAGTTTAACCACCGTTTTCTGCCACTTAAAAGTCGAATGTTCCAAACATACTTCGAAGCATTTTAACTTAAGGTTTGGTCCATCCGTTGATCCCCACACAATCTGTCAGGAGCAATTTCTTTATATATAGAGACAAAGAGAAAATCATGTCCCTTACACTTTTAAAGCTAGAGCCACCTAATTGGACTAGGAACGGTTTATGAACTCCTCTAGGGATAAATCAATATTTCCTAGTCCCAATTTGAAAGACACTGCCTTCCAGGCTATAGATCCCAAGAATCCAGATGGTTCCTTTAAACTTGCTTTGATTGTTATTATATTATAAACAGGGTATTGCGCAGTCTGTTGCAATGGACTAAAAACCTTTTAACTAATTTTTTTTTTGACAAAGTTAAAGCAGGGTTGTTGATGGTCGGGTTGGGCGAGCAAATTTTACCTTGTCTGTTTGCTTTGCGTCCTTGTTGTTGTTTCCGTAGAAGCAGCCGCTTGTGCTTAAAATGCTTAGGTTTTAGTATGTGTTTTGGTATTTTTATAATTTTTTTTTTCGCAACAATCAGAATGTGGCTGATAAGGGGGCGCCGTTGATAAGGCGAATCATCCAATTCGCAGAACAGGCGCAAGGGCAGCAGCAGAGACAGCGACAGAGGCAGATCAGCATAAACAAATTAAAGCGACGCGCTAGAAAATGTCTTTGCAACGACAACGCCTAGTGAAGCAATTTTCCGGCTTTTCACACACGCGACGGCGTCAACGACAGCGGCAGCAGCGGCAGCAGCGTCAACGCTGACGTCGGCACAGGCGGCACGCTTTCTCGGCAAGTTTTGCGTTTGCTTTTGAGTTTGCTTTTGCTTTGCTTTTGCTTTGCTGCTACTTCTGTCTCGTTGTTGTTGTTGTTGTTGTTATTGTTGTTGTTGGCGACACCAATACTTTATTTTTTCTTTTCAATTTGACCGCATTTGTCGATTTTGGTTTTTCTTCTTTTTGTTGCTGCTGCGGCCGCTGCTATAGCGGCTCTCTTTGCGTTTTGCTTTTGGCCAACAAAACACACACTTACTAACACTTGCACATACACGCACTCACACACGTGAACTTGCGCGCTGCAAACACACACTTACACACACAAACACACGATAGAGCAAGAGCGCGGCGATCGAACACAGAATGCCAAAAATTTAAAGCACTTGATTTAATTGGCTTGCACAACACGCACGTTTAATTTGCATTTGTTGCGGCTCGCACGCGTATTAATTAACAATAATTTTTAAATATTTTATACGTCCGCGCTAGCAAAAGAGGTATACACCCACGTCCGTTCGTAACACAAATGCTGTTAATTAACAGGCACAGCGTTTAACGTGCTGTAAGTCAAAGATTGATGAAAGCCTTAACAGACTGTTTCCTTCGACATGACTGCATTTCGATAAGTGAACAACCACAGTCTGTTACTGTTAAATACATAAATGAGACTAAGTTTTTGTTATCGATTACAAAAATCACATTGTGTGACGTCACAAGTGTTATAAGCATATAAAAAATAAGTGTAGTTTATTAATATGAAAGACATACTGTTGAATTAGTTAACTTAATTAAAAAATATGTGTTACTACACATTCAAGTTTGTAAATTACTTTTAATTTTGTAAGTAGTTTTGTAATTGCGCGAAGGTTACACGAGGTTCGTTACAGCCGCAGACAACCGGCAAATTGTAGATAGCTCGCGCGGTAGAATCATGATTTTTACGAGAAAAGCACTTAAATTACTAAACCATCGCCTAAAATGCTCTGGTGCGCGTTTAATTAATCGCCGTTGCCTACAAAGCGCCACCAACGGCGAAGTCCCTTCGGTAGAGGTCAGTTTCAGCAATGGGTAAGACAATTGGCAAGCTCTTCCAAGAACAAAAACTATTTTATAATGTGCTTTCGTTATCAGACGAAACATGACCATTAGCTCGGGCAAACTGGCGCGTTTTGCCAATGGCACTGCCGTTTGCCAAATGGGAGATACTGCGGTAATGGTCACTGCGGTGGCCAAGGCAAAGGCAACGCCTGGACAAAATTTCATGCCGCTTGTGGTGGACTATCGTCTGAAGAATGCAGCCTCGGGCCGAATACCGATGAACTTTATGCGCCGCGAGTTGGGTCCATCGGAGAAGGAGATACTGTCGGCGCGTCTGATAGATCGTTCACTGCGTCCACTGTTTGCCAAGGAGTATCGAAACGAGACGCAACTGGTGTGTAATATGCTGGCCATGGATGCGGTACACTCGCCAGACGTTCTGGCCATTAATGCGGCCTCCATGGCGCTGTCTCTGAGCGACATACCCTGGAATGGACCCATAGGTGCCGTTCGGTAAATTCGAAGTTTCATGAAAAATTATGATTTTTTTAATTAGCCGTGTTATCCTTTTTAGTGTTGGCCTGAACGATGGTGAGGTACTAATTAACCCCACGCGCCGAGAACTGCAATCTTCGCAATTGGATTTGGTTGTCTCAGCCACCAAACACAACCTCGTGGTAATGCTGGAAGGAAAGGGTAATGTAGTGCTAATGCAGGATCTGCTGAAGGCCATCAAGCAGGGCACGCGTGAGGCACAGCTTATTATCCATGAAATCGAACGTCTTCAAAAGGCTTATGGACGCCATAAACGTGAAGTGGATGCGCTGCCAGAATCGAATCCAGAGCTGGTTCAGGCGGTGAAGAGCATGTGCGAGATGCGTCTGCGTGAAATCTTCCAAGATGCACAACATGACAAAATCTCTCGTGACACTGCCGTGAACGAGGTGCGTTCCAATGTCATTGACAAGGTGTGGTCGTCATATCCAGACACAGATCCCGCAGCCATTGGAGAGGAGTTCAACAAGGCTTGTCGTGATATTTTCCGCGAGCTAATCTTCGAGAGTAACCGCCGCTGCGATGGTCGCGACTACGACAGTCTGCGCAACATTAGTTGCCAGGTGGACATGTACAAACCGTTGCATGGCTCGGCCCTGTTCCAACGTGGCCAGACGCAGGTCTTCTGCACGGTCAGTCTTGACTCGCCGGAAAGTGCCATGAAGCTCGACACGTTGGCGGCACTGGACAGCGGTGGCCTGAAGGCCAAAAACTTTATGCTTCACTACGAGTTTCCACCATACGCCACTGGAGAGGTGGGCCGGATTGGACCACTCGGACGCCGAGAATTGGGCCATGGTGCTCTAGCCGAGCGGTCCTTACTTCCCACACTGCCGCACGACTATCCATTTACGGTGCGCTTGACGTCAGAAGTGCTGGAATCGAATGGCTCCAGCAGCATGGCGAGCGTCTGTGGTGGTTCCCTGGCGCTCATGGACGCGGGTGTTCCAGTAACGGCGCCTGCCGCCGGCGTGGCCATTGGGTTGGTCACTAAGTACGAGAACAATGATACCAAGCATCTGCAGGACTACCGCATCTTAACTGACATACTGGGCATTGAGGATTACATGGGCGACATGGACATGAAAGTGGCAGGCACGCGCAAAGGCTTTACTGCCATTCAAGCGGATCTCAAGATACCGGGCATACCGCTTAAAGTGGTTATGGAGTCACTGCAAAAAGCAACCGATGCCAAGTCCAAAATACTGGATATCATGGGTGAAAGCATTAAAGAACCACGGTAAGTCCAATTACATCTCTTATCTGAACATCGACTAAGCTCGTTTGTTTGTTTTTTTTTTCAGCAAATACCGCAAGGATTGCTGGCCTGTCAGCGAGAGTCTCGCCGTGGAGCCACATCAGCGTGCTCAACTCATTGGACCCAGCGGACTGCATATGAAGCGCATCTATTTGGAAACGGGCACCACCCTGACCCCTGCCGACGACAGTACTTTTACAGTTTTTGCCCCCTCACAGGCGGCGCTGGATGAGGCCAAAGAGCTGATCGATGGTTACATGCACAAGGAACGCGTGCCAGATTTGGAATTCGGTGGAATTTACACAGCGAAAATCACCGAGCTGCGGGATACAGGCGTGATGGTCACTTTATATCCAAGCATGCCCCCTGCACTGTTGCACAACTCGCAGCTCGATCAACGCAAGATTGCGCATCCCTCAGCGCTGGGCTTAGAAGTGGATCAAGAAATACAAGTCAAGTACTTTGGTCGCGATCCTGTCTCTGGTTTTATGCGTCTCTCCCGCAAAGTGCTACAGGGTCCAGCGGTGGGTATTGCGCGTAGTCTAAACAAAGCGGCAGCCAGCGAGAATAGCTCCTGAGGTTGCGGGAGATTGGAACTTGTAATAGCTCAAGCAGTTGTACTGTTAACAATGTTGTTTCTGTTTTTAGATTTGCGATTATATTATATATTAAGTTATAAATTTCATGTATATACATTCAACAAATCAATTTAATTATGAATTATGTAAATTAGTTCTTTAAAATACATTTCATTGTAAAGTTTATGCCATTTGGTACGTTGAAAATGGGTCTTGCACTGTTAAAGGGACTTCGAGATTGCGAAAATTGTAATTTTCATTAGAATTCGAATTTTTAATCAATATTTGCCATACTTGATAGTCCCAATTATAACAGTTTTCTAAGAGTTCCTCAATTAAATTGTTGAAAATAAACAATTTTGTATGCCAATAAAGAAAAACTCTGCGCAGTTTGAAAAATTAAACATTTTTTGTAGTCTTTACATAATTTTTGGTAAATAAGTATACATTGGCCTCTGAACACAGCTTACAAGAAATCTAGTTGTAGAATTATTGCAGGAAACTTTAGTTAATCAAAAATCTAAACGTAACCTAATTTGAAGCAATCAAGGATAGATAATTCTAACATTGTATCGCATGGCATCATATAGTAGCTGAATAAATCACCTTTAGATGATAACTCGATAATAGGAATCAGAAATGCTGTACAAGGCCACAATTGGTGTTTTGGCATCACTCAGATTATCCACGATCTCCTCGTGTATTTCGGATATATAACGTTTGTATTTCGGAAATCTGCAAAAGCACGAAAGGATTCTTATTAGGCTGACTTTGCACAACATATTATTTTTTTTATTAAATATATAGTCAGTTTACCGCCCGTGGAAAAGATTTTCCAAGGACGGTAACATCTTTTTTTTTATTTTATCATACAGAACTTTGAAAACAAGTTTGATTCCCACTGGACCTCAATTGTTCACACGGTTGAAGGGTGGATGATCCGAAAAGAGCGAACCACATAGTTAAGAAATGTTTAGATCTTTGAAAGAGTTTATGTTATGCATAATAGTTTTTCATCAGTTTTTCACCCTTGCGTGAGGAATTTCCCCAAATACTAAAAACACTGCTTTCTAGTTCTTACGTTTTGGACAGCGTTCAATCAGTTAGTCAGTTCATCAATCAGTCATGAAAAATAGTTATATATGATTATGGATTTTATAGATTTTTTACCTTTCGACCACAAAATTCATTTCAGGTTCAGTCTCATTTCTGCGTAACACTCTCGGGTTGATAGCACCAACTATGGCATTCACCACTGCAGGCGGCAACTCCACCACCACCACCACAAACGATTCCTTTTTAATAAACTGCGCTAGCGTTGAGCTCATTTGCTGTGCCACCTGATTTTCCAATCGCCTTCGATAGTTAGCAGTGAGCTTGTCGTGGGTGAGGAATGTTACCTGCACATTGGGCAGCTGACTGTAATTGTTCTTAATGGTCGAATTGGACGCTGACAAACTGAGCCCGTTCTCGCCGCGCCCGCTGCCACCGCTACTACTGTTCATGCTGGGCAGCTGGCTAAAATTTTCCACACCGCCACCGACAGCTCCACCATTAATAGCCTCGCTTCGCTGCATCTTCTGAATGAACTCAACCAGTTCGGCGCGAGTCAGATGACGCTCCTGGAAGCGATCACGCTCAAAGGAGCGCACACGCAATGCTCCATTCTCTGCTACCAATATGACATGCAGCGCCCCCAGTCGTTCCAATTCCTGCGCTTCATCGCCGCCACCGCCGACCGTCTCTACAATGCCGCAACGTATGCCAACGGACCAAAGTAGACGCATAATGTAGGTGACATCCTTGAGCGGCGGCCGAGTGCCGCACACACAAATACCTATGTCAATAGCGCGGCAATCTTTAGCATATTCCATGCCCACGGCGGCCACCAGCTTATCCAACGAAAATGAGAGTCCCGCTCCACTAAGGACGCCTCGCGTTGGCAGCGCCGCATTAAAACTTTGGGCCTGTTTCTGAAACTCATGCAGCATAGCATCATAGCGCTCACCCTTGGCCAAAACTGAGGGATGTCCAGAACGATTCGGTTTTAGGTCAGCGGTCATTTGCCAGACAATGCCGCCATTGCTGGCACGGTCAAAGCTAATGGGCAGGCCAGCCCAAATATGTATCGGACACTGTTGGTAAATAACAACATTCACTCTTCCGATGGCATTCAACCAGTTTAATCAATTACTTACCGTCACGCCCAGACTGTAAGCTAGTCCTATGACCGTTTCCAGTTCACGCAAAGCGCCGCGTGCCAAAGAAGCTGCCTCACCTTTGCCGCGCATCAGTGACTTCAGAGCAGACTCATCCACGCTACTTCTGGAACCAGTCAGCAGAAAGTTCACCAGCAGCATGTCCATCAAGGTCTGTGCCGAAGTACGTGACTTGTCCATGATTGCCGTTATGCTGGAATGAAACTGAAATCGTGAAATGCGGCCCTCAATGAAGTCCATGAAGCCCTCAAAAAGCGCGCCATACTGGGACTTGGGCACATTGCAGAATATAAGAATGGAGCGCAACAAATTCGTGTGATTCATGCGTATAGCAATGTTGCGCTCGCGCAGGCGAGGCAGCTCGTTGGTAATTTCAAAGGCCAGTGAGATCAGCTCTGCATCCACCAGTTGGCTGCTTGTGCTGGGCGTGACGATGTCGAAGCAGCATTCATAATTTTGTTTCGGGTGAAAGTTGAAGACGCGTTCCTCGTGATAAACCCGATCCACGCAGTAGCGCCGTATGAGATTCACTCCATTCATGGTTACATGGCGGGCAAACTGAGTACGAAGATCGCAGGGCAGCAGCACCACACAGCCGGAGTGGGTCATCAAATGTACCGCATTGGAACTGGCACTGGAGTTAATGTTACGCGAGGACAGCGGTGACAAAAGTGGCGAGTCCACCTCAATGGCACCATGCTTACGGAACACATTGACCACTTTCGCCTTGACAAACTCAATAAGCGGATTGAGCGAAACTATGTCGTCCATAACAATGGCCGAATTCCACGATTTCATGGCACGACTGCTGCTTAAATGGTAGGTGTGTTCAAGCACCTCGTCACTCTCCTGTTGCAGACAGCGTGCCACGAGATTCTTGTAAGCCTTGCTTTGTGGATTGGCCAACGCATGCCGCAGCATTTCCTGCAGCTCATTGGCTTCTAGTTCAGCTGGCGGAACCAAATCCGAGACAAGCAGCTCCTCGGCAGTTGGTCGTTGGGCAGGATCATGGCTGAGCAGCCAGCGCAGCATCTAACAATTAAAAAGAATAAGTATATGTGTATACGATTTTATACAAAAGCTTACCTTGACGGTCTTCTCGTATTTGCTATCCTGCAGCATGCATTCTGGTATGATTATGGAGGGATTTCTTAAAGCCATTATGGTCTGTGCGCGTTCCATGCTAGTGTCAAAGGGCGGCTGGCACATCTCAAACAATATAATGCCCAGCGTGTACATGTCTACCTTTTGGTTGTAAACGGACTTAGAGGCATTACCCGTCAGCTCTGGTGCCACATAGAGCGTAGTGCCCACTTTGCCCGTGCCAGTGCCATCCTCTGTGAAGGTAACATGCTGAGTAGTTGAATGCGATGGGTATTCAGCTATAAAGAGCGTGGAATTAGTTGTGTCCAGACAAGCCTTGAGTTTAGTCACGCACCATGCGATTGCAACGCTAAAAAGCTCGTGGTGGCTAGACCGAAATCTCCTATTTTAATTTGATCATGCGAGTCCAAGAATATGTTTACCGGCTTCAGATCGCGATGTATAATGCCTTGCTTATGTATGTGAGCCAAGCCTTCGGCAATCTCCCGGAACAAGCGCCACAAACGATCTGTGTTCTCAAATAGATTATCATCGATTGCAGTGCTAAAAATTGATTCATTTAAATATAATTTATACAAGCTGTGATATGTATTAGCTAACCGCAAGGTACACTTCTCACAAAACTCCATTTGTATGTACATAACTTGCATTTGTGGACGCGGCGAACTTATCTTGCGTTGCAATGAATCTTCCTTGTCGCTGTCTTCATCGTCGTCGTCGTCATACACTGCTACTTGACCATTCGAGTCAACAAACTCAATGCCATCCGAGTCAGAGTCGTCCATATTGGGCCTTGCATACAATGTGATATAGGTAAGACATTATTTAATGGCTTGTTAAAATAGTAGTATTTACATGTAACCATTCCACATGCTCGATGAGCTTTCTGTTTCCTCCACATGCACGGCCAGCCCTAGCTGTGGTGACTTGGCCGGTTTGGTGCTCAGCTCTTGGCTCTGTGACCAATCGCCGCCTAGCATTTTGTCCATTTCAGCGGCGTCGGCATCGCTAACACTCTCTATCCAGCTGTTGAAATAGCGCACCACATTCTCATGATTAAGACGAGACAGCAGCTCCACCTCACGGGTCATCTTCTTATATAGCTGGCGACTGCGCGCCGGGAGTGGTATACGTTTGATTGCATATTCCCGGTTATCCAGAATGTTGCGCACTTTTAACACATCGCCAAACGCGCCTTTGCCCAAATACATGAGAACTTCGAACTCGGTGCGCAGTCGAGATTGGCTCAGTGCCAGAGTGGGTATTTGAAAGGGCACCACAGTGCGCTGCATGGACAATCCTTGGGTGGATTGGGGAACCAGGGAACTTCGATGCTGTGTGTGCTGCAGCGTCAAGTGCTGTTGTGCATTGTCCACATACAAACGCAGAAAGGGATGCTCTAGCAGCTCCGAGGCGGACAGTGTGCGATCAGAATGGCATCTGGAATGAAATTAAATGTATTAAACCATTTGCAGTTGATGTTTGCCATTATTAGCTGTACTAACTTGTCCACAAATTCTCGCATTTCATAACTGTGGGTAGGCATCAGTGCCTCCACGAGTGCGCCTAATGCTGGCAGATCGCCGCGGTTGCTGCTTTGGCCAGCGCCTCCTGTTAGCTCTAGCAAATTGGGCACCAGCGAGAAATCTGTACAGCGAATATTACCAGCATTGTCCATAAATACGGTGCTGTCGAGCAGGTGGCTGTGCGAGACGCCTTTGTTGTGTAGAAACACCAGAGCTTCCAGCACGCCACGTGCCACCATGCGAGCACCATCCATACACCAGCCCAGCGTCGAGGAAATGCTAAAAACACTAGTGCCCAGCAAAAAATCCTGCACCAGGTAGACCAGTAAGCCCTCCTTGCGTTTAATGCAGAGCACGCATTCGTATTGAATGAGATTCTTGTGCTGCAACTGTGCCAGAGTTGCCACCTGTTTCTCTATGGAGGATATCAGCTCATCCACACGATGGTTACCGACACACTTGGACTCGGCACTCCAGTGGCATTTTCCATTGCCAGCACAGGGCTGCTCTAGTTGCGAGTACTTGATATTCCACTCCGTTACGTAGAGCAGCTGGCCAGTGTGCATATCGACGCCTGTGTATGCAATGCAACCGCGCTGTGAATGACCTGGAAGTGGAAATGCATAAGCTACAAAACATTTAAGACAAGAGTAATAGTTACCCAAGCAACAGCCGCGTTGGATTTGCCTGCCCACCTTGTAAAAGGAGAGCATTTCTGTATTTCGATGATCCAGACACTTGTTTGGATATGTGTGACCGCGATAGTAGGGCGAGGAGCTTTCAGAACTTTCCGAGGAGCTCGGATGGCGATTGTTGGACTCGCTCATGCTGCGTCTTGGTTCGCCGCGTCTCTTGGCCTCCGTTTTGAACATCTCTTTGCGACGCTCCACCTCGTCCATGAGCGTCTGCCGCTCAAGAGTTTCCTTCCGCTTTTGCATGTCCAATAGCTCCTGTTCACGCTTTTGCTTCGCCTGTAGCATTTCGTCATAAAATGAACCCTTCGGTGGTTTGTTGTGCTGCAGCAAAAATGCCTGAACGGTCTGTGCCAGCTCGTAAATCATTACCTCGCCGCGAAGGTCCTGCGATTGAGCATGCAACTGGGCGAGCAGAGCCTCCAGCAGCTGATCTGATATCCCCTTGGACTCCTCGAGTACTATTTTGGGGGCACTGCAAAAAAAGAACCGCGTATTAGCTAATTGTGGCACAACAGAATAGGCCGACTAACAGCTTTGGATACTTGGAGGGACATGTCACATGTAGCTTGGTACAAACATAGGCTTGTGGCAGGCCATTGGAGGAGTCTCGCAGTGGCGTTAGGAGTATGCGTATGTCTGTAGGCTTCCATTGCGTCGCATTGCTTTGCGGCCTCAGATCCTCCACATCGGCGCCGAATATGGACTACAAATAGCAAACGTTCATTTCATCATCTTGCAAATATGTAGGTTCGCATAAATTAAACTTGCCTTTATAGCTTCCAATTCCTCCGTCTGTCTTTCGCGAAATGATTCTTTCGCTGCCATTTAACTGTAAATTTGTTCATTAAATTTTAATAAAAAACCCTCAAACACTGCACGTTTGCAGTGCAAAAATACTGAAGTCTCGCTGCTTGTTCTTGGTGTATCTACGTGTGTGTGTGTGTGTGTGTGTGTGTGTGTGCTTGTTTTTTGTTATGAATGCTGCGGCCGGCGTGTCTTTTCTGCGATGGCAGCTGTTTCATTATTCGTGAGCTTCTGCATCGCTTTGTGGGTTGTCTTTGCGTGAAGATTGTGATAACTAAATTTCTTTTATTGCTGGTGGCACTTTTATTGCGAAAAATTGCAACTTGTTGCTCTTTTTATTACAATTTTTCACTTGCGTTTCGTGTGCGTAGATTGCTAGTCGTATAACACTTAACATTACTTGTTTGACTCTTAACATCCGTTGTTCCAGGAACATCGATACCAGGTGCGTTCCGCTTTTCGGGATTTTTCATAATTGATGAGGCGGTCACACTTACAGCTTGCAAAAGTAACGGTGCCTTACTTCTAAATGTGAATTTCTATAGTTCATTTTTGTACGTTTTTGAATTGGTGTTTGATTTGTGCGAAATTATTAACTAATCATTATGGTGCAAACACGCGTTATTGTGTATTTAAACCAAACCTCTGATGAAATACAAACAGGTGCTGCCATAAAAAAAGACACTTTCCAATATGGCGGCGAAGTGAGCGTATCGGATGATAAAACTTTAAGACTCTTGTGCTGCCAAAACGCATCCAAACCTCATGTGCTTGTTGCGCAAAAGCTGCGCTTCGATATGCTCTGCTCGCAGAGAAATGAGGAGCACAAGGAGCGTGAACTAAAAGCATTGCTGCATACTCTGTTAGTAGATCAAAGAGATTGCCTTCTCATGCATCTGGCTGCTGAGCGTGGCTATCATTTAATGTTTCTCGTCGATACGCTCATCGTCCAGATCAATGTGAAGCTGCAGCAGGAATCGTTGCAACTGGAAGGCTGCACTGTGCGCTACCGGCATGTGGTCGAAGGCACAAGTTCAAGCAGTCTGGACACTCAGAGCAATTTCAGCGATATGAAGCATTTGATGAACTGGCTGTTGAATGAGTATCGCATGCGCACTGCTTTGGCTACAGGACATGAGGCTCTGGAGGTGCAATATGTGCTGACACGTAAGGAGCAGGGCAGTCGCTTCAGCGTCAAATTTCACATCCTGCTTGTGGCCATGGAGGAGATGTGCTTGGGCACGCTGTGTGGCCTTCGCTGCTATTTAAGCAACGATCTTCTCACGGCTGCGCTCTCGGTCACGGAATTGACTACCTATATGCGCCAAGCGGCTGAACAGAATACCGGTAAATCACTATATATGCTGATGATGTGCCATGTCCTGGTCACTGGCAGCCAGGTGAATTGCAAAAATGTGCAGCTGCTCGGCTTAGCGCATTTGGCCTGCGAGCAACGTGACGCTATTCAGGAGCGAGTGGAAACTGTGAGTAGATCCAGCTTATAGCATACACTCTTTATTACTTCTCTTGTACCATTTTCAGCTTCACATGTCGCCGACTGTTATCATGCCAAACACTGAGGCTCTGGTCAAATTGAAAGAGCTTGAGCTCTGCCACCAGGAGATGAATGAACGTTTCCAATCACTTCATGACCAGCTCGTGGCGTATGTGCAGCATGAGCAGCAGTTGAAGCGCAGCCACTGCCAACTATTAAAGGAACGTACCGACTTTGTTGCTACTCTGCTCGCGTCCGAGGCTAAACTTGTACAATTAAGAAACCTAATGGTGAACATTACACACAATTAGTATTGTTTATTTTTTCACCGTTAAATTATTTTGCATGTATTCTTAAGTTTATGTAAACGCTCATGTGTGCCCTTTGATAATAGTTGTTGTATATCTTAGCATTTATCATAGGGGAAACTCTTGCGTAAATCTCTAGTTTGAAACTTTGATGTAAACCTTGTTTTTGTTATCCATTTAAAAATAGCAAACTGTATTTGTTTTATTAGTCCAGATGCCATTTTCGACTTGAAATAAAATTGTATAAACTTTTATCAAAATTTTATGTAAAAGATATTACCTCTCACAAACAGTCCAAAAACAGAAACAAGAGAGTTCCCTCCCGTTATGTGTGACAAGTTTCACCGCGTTGTTGTGTCCCTTACGGACACAATGCACAAGTCAGCTAAAAACAGCAAGGAAACACCAATCGATAGCGACGTGAAGTTACTGGACAAGACCACATTGCTCCTACGCTCCAATAGCGGTACGGAAGCGGCCAAGGCGCCGTCGCCGCACTACTATCAACAGCTGCAGTTTGACGCTGTTGGCTATGAGGAAGATCGACATGTGCGCTGCGAGCTGACCGGGCTTTTGGATCAAATGATGCGGAATCTTCGTCACGGATGTCTCCTGAGGTTGACGCCTCGTCGTTCACATAATCTTAAGCTTCTGACGCATCTATTGGTATCCGACTTGGACAAGATACTGCAAAAGCTGCCCTACCAGCTCATTTGTATCAATGTAGAGTACTATGATGTGCGCAAATTCGATTTGGTCAACCTGCTTTTGGGGTCGCATCGGAGCAAGGTGCAGTCAAGCAAACGTAATATGCAGACAACGCGTGAAATGTTTCAATGGCTGCACAACGAATATGCTGTTCTGCGTGGACGCGGCACTGGCGACGACCACATCAATGTGGAATTTGTGCTCAGTGAGGGCGTCCATAAGCAGCACAAGGTGCATCTATCGATATTCGATATCTTTGACTGCAATGGCCGCACGGATATAAACAACTTCTTCAAGGCGCTGCCCACTGGCAAGCGCAGCAAGAGTACGCTGCTCACCGACTGCATCAAGGAATCGTTCGATGCTAAGCAACCCATCTTTACCTTGGTGCTGTGCGAAATGCCTCTGGATAAGGAGTGCACACGGGAGATGCACAAGTTCCTGCAGCTGGCGGACTTGGTCTGTATGAGCATTGGCGCTACGCACAGCAAGATGGAACTCCAGGTAAAATCCATCGAATCCAAGACCTCGCTACAAAGCAGATCAAGGATGAGCAGCAGCAGCAACCAGTCACTAGATCCGATTAGGAAACACTCTCAACGGAACTTGACCAGCATGTCGCTCCGTTATCGTCCGGTGAGCCTCTCCCATGAGGACTACAGTAAACTAGCCGCCTGGTATCATCGCATTGACACCAAGTATGCCGAAGTTAAGCTCTGCATGGAACGCCACTACAATGTCCAGTATCGCCAAAAATTATTGAAACTCTGCAAGCAGCTGAACTCCTGCCGCATCCTCACTGACAAAAGCGGCGGTGATGCCCAGGGCGTGCTGCTTAAGAATAGCTCAAGGGATCTGGCGGCATCTGCTAATTATATGGAGGCACTTAAGCGATTTCGCCAATTGGAAAAGGAAGTCAATAAGTCCAACTTTGCGCCCACCTTGTCGACTTATATGAGCACCAAGAACTACGAGCTTCTTAATGAGGAGGAGATGCTGCAGCAACAGGAAACATCAAATCTACGGGAGCACAGAGACCGCATATAAAACACTAGAGTTATGCTATTTTTTTAGGGGGTTCATATAATTGCCTGCTTACTGCCTAGTTCAAAATATTCTCCCAAATTATTTCTATGCAGCAATCAGTCAAAAACCTGTGAACCCTGCGCAAAACATAGAATAACATTGAAATCAGTTTTGGAATTTGTCTCTTCCATTTCATATAAGTTAAATATATATTTTTTTGTTATGAGAAACACGAAATATTTGTGGTTTCGACGAGTATACATATAATATAATAATATATAATATACATAAAATACATATTTATATATATATGTATATATATACACACATTTATATAAATTGCAATATTATTGTCAACAATATGTTCCATAATAGTAGTTAAGCAACTTTATCGAGCTGCGGCTTCAGGCTAACAAACAGTTAAAATGCCAAATACAATGTGTAACAGTTACATAATTCGATATTAAATATAATATATGCCTACATGCAGGGTATACCTTATGAGATTGAGGTACTCTGCCATTTTGTTATGCTAAAAGCACTCAAAGCAACATTTAAACAATTGATTAATGCAGAAAATGGCAATAAATCGTAGTCAACAATTCAATAAGTATATTGTTAAATATGTTTTGCATCTTGGCAATGTTTTGAACAATTTGTCAGTTGGATATGTGCGATTTGCGATGTTCTCTATTGTAGTAAGGGTATAAGGTAACTGGATTTCATCTGGATTTTGATAGTTTTTTAAACTTTTGTTGGCAGTTGGCAAATTTAATAACCACATTAAATAAATACACATGTATTTAAAATTAATTTTCAATTTTCGAAACTTAACTCAAAGATCTTAAGAAAAACTGCTTAAAGTACTATAAAAAAAATTAATATAATTTTTTCGTAGTTCAACGTAAATTGCAATGCTCTTTTTTTATGTTTCTGGGTATGTCGCACTAATTTCTAAACTAAATTTTAATTAACAATTTTAAAAGCGCGCTTGAAAAAACATTGATAACTCTTAAATGCTGCAAACTGCATTTTGTTTATGATGCAAATGATTTTTGCTGGCTAACGATTTGAATATTCTACACAAGAGTATTACATTTACCCTCAAGATAACTGGTAGAAGGTATGTTATAATATATATATATATACAGAGGGTTGTTCATGCCGTTTTGTAGTTCTTATGGTCTTCAACCGACTGTGCATATATTGTTTATGGGGATCTGTAAATTTAAACTAACATTAAGCTTTGGACAACTTCTGTTTTGATTTCCCTTGTACTTTCCATTAGTTTCCCACAGTCCTTGAGTCCAAAGCCTTGTGTTAGTTAAATATTATGAGCTGAAGAAATAAAACATGCTGCACTGGGCTTAGTGTTAACTTAAAACATATATAAAAATATATCTATTCGTAGTTTTATTGCTGAGCTGGGCGCGCTTTAAGTTTGCCGAATGTCGTTCAAATCGCGCCAAGTTCTGGAATTTAGTGTATACACAAAAGCTTGATTTCTTTTTTGTAATTTGCTTATGCAATTTTAAATATTAAATGCTATCATTTGCTGTTGGCTAACATGATGTATCCACGTCCTTAATAATCTCTGCGTAATCTCTGGCAACAGATGAACCGCTATTATCCATCCACTAATCTCTACACCTGAGCTGGTTTCTTTTGCTTGCCGAGTACCATGAGCAGCTTTTGTAGGAAGTGCGTTAGGCCTACTGCAAAGTATAAGAACGATGGCTGCATTAGTTAAGAACTTAAGAACCGTCAAGTTCTACTTAAGTGCGGTACTATGAATAAAAAAAGTAATTTGGCATACGTCTAAAAGTGTTAAAGAAACATAAAACAAAAAAAGGGGTTTTAGCTCAACCCACGTGTTAGTAGTGAGTGCAAAGGGCAGGCAAGAGTGTGAGCGTGTTAGTCGCTTGTTGAAAAAAATAACTTAGGAAAACTAAGGTAAGGAGCAAACTTAAAAACCTTTGACGCCGCTTTGGGACGCACAACCATCATCAGTTTCTGTAGTACTTGTGTAAGTCCGCCTAGAAGATTTGCAAGGTACGGGAGCACAGCATAAATCATATATGAAACGGTATTGCAAAACAGTTTTGGTGAGCACATGTAAGAGAAGCAGCTGGCCAATTCAGTGTCAGTTCACGGCAGTAAACTTACCCATGGATTTCTGGAACCAAATCGGCTTATTCTTCCAGGCAATGAATACCAAATAGACGGGTATGCTGGACAGTATCATGAGTATGCCATAGCCCGTCTCCACGGGACTGGCGTACATGGGCACAACAGTAACGAATATTGTGGCAATCAGATATACAACGGGGAATACCAAGGGCACGCGAATGGGGCGTGGCAAATTGGGCTGAGCCCAGCGCAGCCAGGGCAGGCAGAGAACCGCAACGCCAATGCTCAACTATATGGAAAATCAAATGTAGGCTGATTCATAGAAATATGATTAACAGAACTTACCCAAGTCGCAAAGCCCACATAGTTGATAAGCGCAAAGATATCGGATACCGTGAGGTACAGCATGGACAACAGAGCCATGGCCAGCACTGCGGGCGTGGGTGTAAAACGTTGAATTTGAATCATGGTTAAAATCTCTGGCATCTGACCCTCGTTGGCGCCAGCGTAGAACAGGCGCGAGGAGGTGAGCAAAATTCCATTGACGGCTCCAAATGTGGACAGTGCCACAAATACTAGGCAAAATAAATAAGAAAAATTCGTTAAATTCAAATGCCTGTCATTCATTCCTTAATATTCACCCACCTGGTATGGTCCAGGCCAGCATGCCAAAGGCTCGCTCCGCATAGGTAACAGCCACAGCGGAGGAGCCTAATACCTCCTCCGGCGAGAGAATTGTGTAGAAGGATACATTGGCCATGACATAGACGACGGTGACAAGTGTGCAGCTAATGGCAATGGCACGAGGCAGATTTTTGACGGGATCCTTCAGCTCCTCAATGATAAAGTTCAAGTAATTCCTGTCAGGAAGAACAAATCCAATTAGACCAACAAACCATGCGAACATACAAAGCGGCTTAACGCTTACCAGCCATTGTAGGCGAACAGGCCCGAGTAGAAGGACAGTGCCAAGGATGTAACCCGCGTGTCGCTATTATCGAAAGTAAAGTACTTCACATTGCCCATATAAAGCTGGTACATGCCCGTGGCAATAATAATAAACAGGGCGAACAGCTGCAAATGCCAATATCCTGGCTCTGTTGTAATCTCTGACTTTAAATTGCAAATCCCATTTAACTTACTTTTGCATATGTAAAGATATCCTGCACAGCGGTGGCCCATTTAACGTCCCAGCAATTGATTAATGTCAGCACCACTGTACAAAATAATGGAAACAAAGGAACTTCAATATATTGCAAGAGATTTAAAGAAGGCATTGAATGCATGAACCATCCGGATGATGTAATAAACTGAGGATTTACACAATGTAAAAGGCATTGATTTTGTATAGCTGCAGCGCGTAGATGTCCGCATTATTAAATCAATATTAAATAAGTATAAAAACGATCAGTCAGTCAGTCCCACATTGACAACAAGCTGTACGTGCCTGACTTATGGCTGGACATTTGGGCAGAGGAATACAAAAAAGTTGAAAGTACCAACATTGAGATGTCGAAGAATAAGTGCCCTTCCAGATACTACATTTTAGATACCTTTATATGTACACATGTACAATCCGCTAAATAATTATTAATATATTTTTACTTGGGGACAGACTAGGAATATGAAATTATCGAGCGGTAGCATGTATGTATCCCTGTGTCTATGGAGTTTAAGATTTTCTTCAGCTGATCTTTTTACGCAAAATCATAATATTCAAATTAGAGAGGTTCCTACATAGAAGAGCATAGAAGAAATGCTTCAGAAAACAATAAAATAAGCTTAGAATATATATTTATGCTAATCTAATAGTATTTTCTATCGATCTTTGTCAGCCTTCACATCACAGTAAATATAGAGATTGATTTGTATGATGTTTATTTAGTCTGTTTACACAAAACAATAACGAAAATAATAAATAAAACGGAAACCAAAGCACCTCCCGCCTCGTTTACAGCTGCTGATAAGCCAAAGTTAAACACTTTTCGCATTCGTATGCGTATTTACTCTGTTCTCAGGGGATTTGCTTGAATTGGGTCTAATCTATAGGTCAAGTACGCAGCATTTGCGAGTGCACTGATACCCGGCAATGCAATAGTTGTATCTGTCTGTGCTACTCACGTATACAGCAAACGGCGAGCAGTCGTGATGCATCCTCGGGTGGTGTGCATTCCGGAAAGAAGGGCTTCAGAACGTAGGTGCTAAATGTTAGAGCCACAATGGCCTGAGAGCAGGGACGCACAATCATGCACTCGATCCACAGACGTATGAAAGCCATGAAGGGTCCAAACGTTTCCATAATGTACGCATAATCGGCTCCAGATTTGGTTATCATGGTGCCCAGCTCGGCGTAACAGTAGGCGCCCACCTAAATCAATATTGATGGGAGAATTGAAAAAGTGCTGAGAATTCGGAATGTTAAACATTCTTAAAGCAATTTGGTTCTTTCAACCCCAAAGTGGCTGTCATTTCCGCAACTTGACTGCCAGCGACCACGCAGCGTATACGCAATTTTTTATTGAATAGCAGCGCATGCTTTTGACAAGGGCGTTTCCGGTCTGCGTGTGCGTGCGTGTGTGTCTGTGAATTTGTGTGTGGGGTATGCGGGAATTTCAACAATTTCATTAAAACACAAAACGCTGCCAGCATTTCTAATTGAGTGTTGGTCCTTTTGACAGCTTTACATTGGCACGCGCATTCCCATTAGTTGGCTTTGCCTCACATCGAAGCACATCTGTTTACTGCCGCATGCAATCATCAATTCAAGCCCTCAACAGGTGTCAGCTACCTGCTTGTTGGCCCATTTGCATATCACTTAATCAATATTTATAAGTCGCTGATCCGCCATGCACTTCTACACGCATAACACTCACCATTGAGAAGAGTCCGGATATGACCCACACAATCAACGCCAAATTAACGCTGCCCGTGTACATCAGCACACCCGTGGGCGAGACAAAGATACCGGAGCCAATGATTGAGCCCACAATGACGGTGCAGCCGTTCAATAAGCTCATTTTGGCTTTGAGTGTCACCTCACCGCCACCAGCACCGCCATCCCCTGCACCGTCATCGCCATTTGTCAGTTTGGTGGATGCATCTCCATTGCCGTTCACAATGGAGCTCTTGCGTGAGGAGTTCTTGCGATTGAGCGACTCCGTTTCCATGCTTGCAGCTGTGAAGTCTCAAGAAGCTGCCTGAAAAAGGAATATTTGAGAATGGGTTTGTTAACAAAATGTAGGTGAAATCTAAAGAAAGATTGGCTAAAGCCAAAAATTTGAATATTTATATGGGAATAAGCTATTACGATTCGGGTAAGATTATGATTTGTTCAAATTAGATAAGGATCAAGTTATCTTCTGATATAATCAGTTAGATTAAGAAAACATCGTTTATATTATTTTATCAAAGCGTATTATCTTCTTTGTTATTTCGGTTATTTATCTTCATGAATATACATTTTTAAATATATTATTCGATGATTTTTTTGTCAGCTCCTAAAATTACTTTATAAGTTAATTTATAGATATTTATAATATTCCCATTTTGTTGCTTAGAATATCATTTATATGGTTCATTATACTCTGATTTTATATTCGTAGCTATTTTTAGCAGCTGTTCAGCATAACACGTATTATTTCAGATAGCATATGGCTGTCTGTTTATCAACTTCTTCGTACAATGCAACTAATTATTCAAGAGTCTCTAGAGGCCGTTGCCGTTTTTTCATTACTTTGCTAATTGTTTGCACAACAGCTACAAGAGCTGAGATTCATGTTAATTAATTGGGTAGTATTTGCCTTAGACTAGTCAATTAAAGTTTTTTATATGCCTAGCTCAGCTAAATACAATTTTTATTCTACCAGCTTCATAATCTTAAGCTTGAAATCTGACTTTAAACGGCACGACTTCGTGCTTGTAATTATATTTTTCTTCTTATGTTTGTGAGTGAAAGGCAATCAAAGTTCATTGGCCACTAAGAGGCAAATTATTTGTTTCACATTTTGCACATTACTTTTAAATAACTCGTATCGTGTTCCAGTTCTTAAACCTTTCTTCAATACGTAAGTCGACAGCAGACATTAGTATAGCCCTGCGCACTTGCACCTTTTGATTAAGCCCGACCTCATTATCAGCTACGGTTCAGTTCGGCCACATGATGAGGAAACACAAGACGATGAGATTTCATCAAGTTCGTTAAACCACGAAAATTTTCATTAAATAAAATGCTATACAAAGTTTGACAGGGCCCCAGATTGATTGTTGACACATGATGCGCGTGTTGGCCCATAAAATATACAATCCAAACATATTTTCCTTCTCAAAACAGTTCAAGGCTGTGGAAAGCAAACAACGAACTATTGGGCACCGCCCACGTCATACTCTCTCTTCCCCTACTCGCTTAGCTTTGATTAGGTCACAATGTTGTTTTTATACAATATTAGCATATATGTATATAGCCAGGTACTTCCTCCAAAGCAAGAACCGGCACTGGGCACACGCTTTGCATAAATTAGCATAAAATAAAAGCGAGAAAAACAACAGATGTGAATTAACTATTGTGCGACAGTTAAAACGAGCAGGTGAATTTGACTTATGATCTGCTAGTGCAGGCCATTATAAATTATACATTATACAATATTCTTGATCTCTTGAAATCTAATAATCTGACTACAGGGTACGTTCTCTTGGTAATAGCTTCTGCTGCTAATTACCCACCTGAAGGTTTCCTTTTCGCTTCACAGTTGAGCGGTCAACTTGAACGGAGTGTAAAATGTTATAAACCGCCAAAAATAAAAAAATTGTCCAAATTTTGACTCCATTTGTGAAGCAATCAAATTGAGCACTTTGTTGCAAATTGTTGATTGGGATTTCAATTTGTAATTGGGGGTTTTCTCGATTACCGACGTTGGCAACTATGCGGAAATTTGCAAATAGTAAATGATCAGAGAATTACTATGAAATTTACAACATTTCTTAGTCACGAGTTTGCGCAATTCGAGCGTGTGAAAGGCAATTATAATTGGCTTTTAGTAAGTCATTAGATAAATGCACTACATATGACTCCAACAATTGTCTTTTCTATGTAGGTCTGGTCATTGTCGGCCAGCCTTTCACTCTGTTCGCAGCCATTAACCTGGCCCAAACTTGGCCCAAAATCACAACAATAGCGTGTTGATTCATCAGGCTATGTGTATTAGAGTGCCGCCCAAATTGTGTACGCATAAAATAGCACACAAAATCCATTAATTTTGATACCGTAAACAACATACAATATAGTTTTTGTAGCTATCTATTAGCTTATATGTAGTATTCATGTGTGTTCCACAGTTCGGCTATCATTTTTTCTTTCAGGCAGGTACTGTATACATACTATACTGGATTGTAGATTTTCACACATTCGACTGACTAATAAAGTAATTATCGAAATTACGACAAATTTGCTTTTCACTTTTTATATTGCAAACTGTGAACTGGTTGGATTAACAAAAATAAAAAAAAGAACCTCTTCATGCGCGATAATTGCTTAAACCCAATAATTGATTGAATTTTGTTTGGCTTGGAGCTGTAAATTGTTATTTGTATAAATTTATTACTCTTGAGACACTTGTTTGAATACTTAAATTTGAATTTAATGCGTTGTCCAAATGAAGCGATGTATAGATATATTTTAAGCGAAAATGGCTGTGTTCTCTTCTTTTTCGGTGTAAAGCACAACAAAATAGCACGGGCAGTGAATAAACAATGTCTTTCTGCGTTAATTCTGGCCAAGATTACACACAGTTGTTAAAACATTTTGTGATATTTATTGTGTTAGCTACCTTCTCAAAAGCAAATACAATATTTCGCGCCACAAAAATCCGTCGAATGCTGCCAAGTACAACGAGAACTGGAACCGCACGCGGCCAACGAATAGAGCAGACTGAATAGAGCGTTGGCTGCTCCACGGCATCTTTGCGGCGCAATCTCAGCCAGAGTATGTGCTCGGCCTGGTTGGCATTGGGCATGACCTACCCGCTGATAAAGCTCTGCCCTCAGCTCAAGCTTCGCGGACTGTCGGCAAAGCTCGCTGTGTTGCTGCGCTACATCGAACTTGTCGGAGGTTGGCGGTTCTGTGGAGGGCTCGTTCGTTTCTAACCGGCATTTTTGAATTTATAATTTTGAACCAAAAACGAGTTTTTGACGCGGCGATTGCCGCATTTCTTCGTGTATTTGGCTTTCATCAGAATTTGTGTTGTTGCCGTAACAAAAGTTGTAGTTTATTTCTCTTGTTTCGTTATATATATATATTTTTTTTTTGTGTGTTTTTCGTTGTTGTTTTGTTTTTGTGTTTCACCGTATTCTCGCATACTGTTGGCTCTTAATTGTTGTACATATTCTCCAGCAAGGCGGAAAAAGTACGCGTCATTTTTATCTAACGAAACTTGTACGCAACTCTAATTAGCAGAATGCTGTACTTTTACCCTGTCGCTCTCCACACACGTGTTAGATAGTTTATCTTTCGGCACTTGAAAATATTAAAAATATGAAGTGGGGCAGTTGGATTCGTACTTTGCTGTCCCTGTTCAAACGCATGAGCTGCAGTATGTTTGCCACTACAAGATACAAAAGTATCTTGCGCATTAGATGAGCACACAATAAGTACGTAGCGAATGTATCTTTTACGCGTTGTCATTCGCTTAGCCTATGCAAATTTCATGACAGCCTCACAGATTTTTTGCGCGCACATTCAAATCCCACACTCTGTCGCTTGAGTTACCCTATAATTGAATGTATCCGCACTTGGGGCAACGTCTGTCTACCCAGCTATCTCGATACAAATTCGTCCGTCTCGATTGTCACAATAAAGTGAACATAATCTTTTGCAATTTCTCTAATAAGTTCAAAATAGCCCACGCAATTTACTGCTCTTTGTAGAATTTATTTAAAATTATATTATTATTAACTTCATTCAAACCTGATTAGACTGGCGCAGATTCAACTTACACTGAGTTCTGGACGTTTATTGATCAGCAAGCTGCAGATCTCTGCAATCTCAGCCAGAGGGTGTATCTACACTCAAACTTACAGCTGCTTACAGGTTCTTCTGTTCTATATTCAGAGAGCTCAAAATGTTAGATGTTTCTTTTTCTTGCTCAATCTCGGGCTTATTAGTCACTTAAATAAACAACAATTTACGGCTCGCCCAAAACGTCATTGAATTAAGGTACATAAGTATGTACCTTAATTCAATGACGTTTTGGTTTTAAAGTTAAAAGTCGTTTAATTTATGCAAAGTCAATGAATTAAATTTGAATTCCAACTTGTTGTCGTGATATGAGGAATTTTTAAAGCTCTACACTTGTTTAGAATTGATTTACAATATGGTTTGTTTTGATTTGATATCGACGCTGTATGCAAATCAATTTCCATATGTCGGATGCTTCAGATTCCCTGGAGTGAGACGATTCTTTGTCAAGAAGAGTGACAAAATCGAGCAAACAAAAAATATTGCAATTATAAATGTATCTGTTTGTTTATTAAATTACAATAATGATAACTGGTTTAATAGAACCTGAACACATAAATGTGTTTGGAAGAGTTCTGGAATACAGAACTTAAGGCAGGCATTTGGCTCGAATGGTAAACATAACCAGAAGCCAGCTCTAATTAAGATAAATATTATCTAAATGTATATACAAATTCTAAACTAGTCTAATGAATATAAAATTTGCTTGAAGGTAGCATAGAAGATATTAACATTGCATAGAATCTTCTCAAAAAACTTTATAATTCTAATATTTAATCATATTTATGAATGTTTAACTTAACTAACTAATAAAAAATTAATTAGTTTGTGGAACCTTATTACTGTATGAATTTATGCACTAGACAGTTTAGTACATGTATTCGAATTCTTATACCTTATAGTGGGACAAAGATAAATGCTCTGAGTATTTGGTAAGACGGAATATTACGAGTATGTTCCTGCTTGTTTAATTAAATTTGTAACGTGTTTAAGAATCTGTATTCACCATATATTTAAGAGTACTTCCAATTACAGCCTGCTCGACAAAATCTTATATTTGACTTAACCTGTGATATCTGCAAATATTCAAATACGAGATGTTACCAAACCTTTTTTAAGCCCGTTTGTTAAAGTTTGTTTCTGTTGCACGTTGCAAATGCCAATAAATTAGATGCTTATCCTTGACAGAAGAAAAATTTGTTTAAGTGGGTTTGTGTGTGTTTCTGTTTATAAGCTCTTGGGGGCTGCCCGAATACGATACGCATACGCATAATTCGATCAATGGCAACACACCCTGTAGGGTGCAGGGTATTGAATGTACATTAATTAAACGATTAATACTAAGCCCAAGGTTTTGTGCAAAGCTTCGTGTGGTTAGCAAATCAAGCAATTCTTACTAACATCTCAGGTTTCGCACAGAGGCTGACCATATCATTTGCGCGCATTGCGTCAGACTTTCGACTAAAGTATAGATAATAAAATTCAAATTATTTTAGATAATGAGACACGTCGTGGCGCCAAAGCGTCTGAAAATGGCAAACTGGGTGACGTTCTGCTGGACACAAATTGATATACCACCTAGCTGTCAGCTGAGAGGTTGTGTGTATGGGCTGTGACGTCAGACACGCGTACTGAGGCGTAATTCTGACATTCTTGGGGGGCGTGTTTTTTTTCGCGTCCATCTTTGCAGCCAAAAATAGCTTTGCAGTGTGTCAGAAGGGCAAAGTTCTTGCTCAGCTTACTGGCCTATTCGAAGGCTTGTTATTGTTAAGGTTTCTCTAATGAAAACTTACGTTTAATTCCTAATTAATTAATTTTCGTTGAATGTGCTTCTTTTTTTTCACCCTTTTGCTGCTCAATGTCAAGGTCTCCCAAGCATATTCATAGCAAGAACACTTTCATCGTTCAATTGTGTCGATTATTGAATAAACTATTATTTTAAATTTAATATTTGCACGCTTCTTTTAACACTTTACTGCCAATCGAGCATAGTCAACAAGCTTGTTAGTTTTTTTTTTGTTTTGTAAATTTTTTCAACAAAAGAGCTTGAAAACGTTTTTCCTTGTCGTGGCCACAGTTCAGAGTGTACTGAAAGCCAGCGCATGGATACAGCATCAGAGAACCGGAACCAGAACGTGAATTTCAGCAACAAGCTCTGATAAGAGGACATAGGAGCAAGAAGCTCGCAGTTTTCAGACTCCAAAAAAAAAAAAAAACATCAAAAAAGGTCGACGTCACGTTGTTGGTTGTTCTCATGTTATTTGGTTGGCTCTGAAAACTTTTTGCGTACTTCAAATTATACGTTCTTGTGCTGACAACCCCTTGCGCTGCTCGTTAGCTACGCGCAGGCATTCATCAAGGGCCTTTAGCATAAATTATGCCCGTCCAGTTATGCCATTTCTTCAGTTTTTCGGTTTCAGATTTGTTTCTGTCGTCTGTTCAGGTTCGCGCCTTTTGTTTGCGCGTTAAGCATGGCCCAATGTGCTTTGCGTTGCTTTCGTATGTCATTTGCGACTGTTCTTCGCGGTTGTTTGTTGTTGTGCCTAAGGTCAGCTTCGAATGTTCTGCGCATGTCCTGGTTTGAGCTTTTCATGTAGCTTCCAATGGTATGTCGGAGAAAAGTTATCGATTTCTGTAGGATAATTACTTGTTTTTTTCTGTAGTCGGGTATTGTAATTGCCTGGGCTTGGATTTCGCGCAGTCGGTTTCGATTTTTTGCTTAGCTCAAGATTTGTAACGGACCTTACATTTTTTATTTTATTTTTTCAAAAATTGTATTTTATAGCAATCAGCTTGTGCTATGCTAAAATATGAACTGCTTCCTGAATTCTGCGCTTGTACACTGCTTACAAGCAGTACCAGGCTGTGTTGTAGGCAGGTATAATTTATTGTTCGCGAAAAAAGCGAAAGATGGCGCTAAACAAACCATCATGTTATTTTCAAAGTGTTCTTTCACATGTATCTTAAATATTTTGTAAATTTTATGTTTTGAATAAATTAGTGGGAAAATTACGAATAGCGAACTAAGATTGCCATAGTAAATATAGTTGCCTTGAAATTTTATTTTTATGATCCAACTAGCGATTCACTCTTTGAATTCTGTAAAAGTGAGTCTTACATTGCTTTTGGGGGAGATTTCTGGCACAGGCCCAGGCGTGTGAGTGTATTTTACAGGTTTATGTTATATTATATATATTGTATTGCACTCCGGTGGGCAAAAAACGTGTGAACCAATGCAAACGGCGTGCACCATAGGAACTTTGATCCTGTTTTCAATCTGTTCATGCGTACAAGCAGCATTGTTGTGCGCTTAAGATCCAAACAGACACAGACATAGCTACATGGGTGCTTGTTTGTGTGTGTCTGTGTGGCATGTGTGGCTGCAGTTGCAAAAACACCTACGCATTGTTGCACAACAATAAAAAGCTGTCACCAACTCACCTGATACCAGCCTGCCAAGCCGACTGCCAGTAGGGCTTATTAGTTTGTTTTGCAGCTGGGCCAGAATCAATCATTGGGCACGAACTGACAAACTGGCAAACACCTGATGGCCCCTTGCGCCTGCAGAGTTTCATTTTGTGCGGCCGCGACCCGCGCCGGATGCCGCGCTAGCCGGATATGAACGCATTCCCAATCAAATTCAATGCAGGAGTGCCTATTGTCCAGGTCACATCTATATTTTTTTTTAGAATTCTCGCATGTCACGCTGATGTTTTTGAGCCCGACGTGACTACAGCAAATTGTTCGCACTGGAGCTGCTTCTGTATTTTTTTCTATTTTTTTTTATGTCGGGAAACTTTAATGCCACCCATTGCGATTTGCATTTTTTAATGGACTGTAAATGTCAGACGTGGAAAAAGCTCATATGAATTTGTCACACCTTACACACTTTCAATGCTTATCGTTTTTCGC